CACAAAATAACCCAGGAGCTGCCAAATGTTGCAGCTAGCATTTCTCCAAATATAAATACCCTTTTTTTCCCCGGTTCAGAGCTAAAAGATGAGTTACAAAGGATTTGATGATCAGTGAAATTAATGACACAATACTATTGATTTCAGTATTTCTTCAAGATATCACCCAAGGGGTGAAATCACCTGCAATTTTATTTGACCAGGCTGTGAGCCAGGGCTCTTGGAGTGTGTTTTTGGTACATAGCTGCTGTGCTTTGCAGTGCAGGCAGTCTGCATTCACACAGGGCATAAGGTGATTCCTGGAAGCACCTGACTTACTGCACACTGCTGCAGTGTGCGGACTTATATTATTGGGTCCCTGTCGTGTCCCTCCTCCCTTCTCCCAGCATATAGCACTCGGAGGTGATGAAGATGGGGCTTAGGATAGAGCTTTATAAACACATTAAAAAAAATCATCCTCATATAAGTTGTTCATGTTCACCCCATCTCTGTACCCCTTTTTCTTTCCTCCCTTCTCTGTACACCCATCCTGCAGACCCAGGGAAAAGCCCATCAGTCTGAGTTGCCCTTGCACTAACACCCCGGTCAGTGGCACACTCCTGTGCTCTCTGTCTTCATCCTCTGCTCTTATGTTGACTTAGGGAGAGTTTTTGCTTAGAGAGATGAATTAACTGCTGGTTGATACCCCAGAAAAGCAAAATAGATCACTGTGAATACTGCAAAGGCAAATGTTGATTCATGGGAGATTTATGTTGATTTAGGGAGAGTTTTTGCTTAGAGCGATGAATTAACTGCTGGTTGATACCCCAGAAAAGCAAAATAGATCACTGTGAATACTGCAAAGGCAACAGATAAAAAATAATGTCTTAGATAATCTGCATTATCTTCTTCATAACACAGTATGCGTGGAGGGAGTACAGTAATAAAAAGCAAAGGTAGGAGAAGACATATTCAAATGAAAACAAACTTTTCTGTTCAGAAGGATGAACTTTGGGATTTCAAGCATGAGCTGATTCTTGTAAAATCTCTATTGGAATATATTATTCTGCATTTTAGATTACAAAGAAGTGCTTTACTGCAGTAACTAACGGGCTTTTGAGAGGAATTTATGATAAGAAGGAAAAAAATACTGCTATTCTTAGCTCCAAAACAATGATGCCATTATATTCATGCTTTTTTCGTATTTTGTTGTTTCTAAAGGGGAATGCAGGAGTTGCGAGTCATGCTGTCATAAGGTCAAGTCACCCAGCCATTATACTTCTGGACACCTTGAGTTTTGCACAACTCTCTAACGGTCCACTGAAGTGACTGTAGCATAAAGTGGCAGTCCTCACTCGGCAGGAGGAGAAGTGAGATTGCCGTGCTGGGCCATAGGATGGAGGAGGAGCTGCTGTGTAACTTTTGATGAAACTTTTCTTGACTGGGAGACCTAAAGAAAGAAAATTCTTGGTTGCAGGGCACGTCCGTGGCTTCTGTCCTACTCTGTGTGCTGGGTAGATCTTGTTGGAATGACCAACTGCTTCTGGTGTGAAGCCTTAGACTGGAGGGAGACCGCAGGTATCTGAGATATTGGCAGGAGCAAATCTCAGGCCCCGTGGCTGGGTTCAGAGATGATGCAGTGCTAGAGCTGCAATGTGGATATGACAAATAAACAATAGTGTGCGAGGCTGGAAGCCTTTGGGTGGGTAGGGGTGAGCTGGAGATTGGAGTACGGAGGCTGGAAAGTACAGGATGTCTCTAGTAGTACAGAAATGAGAGGAAATGGGTGATGGATACTCTGTGCCAGGGCTGCAGAGACTGCAGGAGCTCATGCAGGGAAACTGGGCAGTAGTTGCAGCTTGCAGCCCTAATGAGAATAAAACATGACAACTTGGGGGGTAAAGTGTGGTCTCAGGGATGCTGGGAGTGGTGAAGGTAAGATGTACAAGGTTGGAGTCATAGTAAAAGAAACAGCGATCAGAAATGTCTCTCCTTTAGTGTAGGCAGACAAAGCAAGTATTTTAATCTTGTCCTTCTCACGTTCCCAGCAGTGTGATGGACATCTGCTCCCATCTGGCCTGGAGGTGCATGACTCAGTCTGAGCACAGGGTCATCAGCGGTACTGTTTGGGTTGGTTGGTTGTTTTTTCTTTCCCAGCCCTGTGCAGTAGTGTGGGAACCTGGCTAGCTGACCAGGGACATGTAAACATCGAAATGTTAAGTCAGCGGGAACTTAATAATTATCGCACACAGCTGGTGTAATAGCCAATGAAGGACAAGACTATTGTAGCTAATACTCTGATAGTATAGATACTGTTGCAAGTATAGTGGAATGTTTGGCAAAGACACTGTACCCCTATTGTTAGACCATCTGGTTGAAACCGACCTCGCAGTCTGAAGCTCTGCCAACTCAACATTCTGGGCCAAAGGTGAAGGTACCCGGTGAGGAAGACTGTGAATCTTCCTCCAAAAGACCCCAATAGACGACCACCAGATGGCAATACGCATGCGCCAGGAGGAGGAACCCTATGATAATAGATTCTTAGAAGTAATTAGAATATCCCGCCTTTTCTTGGAACTAATTATACTAACCCAGCCTATAATAATAAATATGTAAGAAGTAACCCTATAAAGTCTGATGTTTGCATTCCAATAAACGAAGTATGCTGATCACTCATATTGAGTGACTGTGTCTTCCCTCCGTTCCGGCGAAAGGCACAACACAGTAGCTAGCAGCCTCCCACATGGTCAAGTGTCCTTTGCCTCCCTTACTAGGATGCAGGGTGTCTCCCTGCTAGGGGCTGAGGCAGCACGCGCTAGCCATCACCAGGGGCTGACGGGGAACATGGGCAGCAGCTGACCATTTGGTACTTCTGAGCCTCCGAACTGCTGAAAGGGTTTTGGCTCCTGAGCCAGCATGGAGAGGCAGTGTGCTAGTGTACTAGTTCCCTGACTAGTATAAACCTTTCATGATCTCGCTGAGCCCTGGCACAGCATCCTCGAGATTCATCACGCTAGAGACAATTACTGGGATATCCAGCAGTAGGAGTGTGACATGCCTGATTTTAAGAAATAAGTTTTCCATTAGGACAAATCCTAGATAGCTAAATGATTCACTACCAAAACGTATGGCTACATTCTGCTTCTGCTAACTTTTGTACTCGTAGGTACAAAACTTCATTAGCACGTTCACTTGCAGAAAATGTAAATGTGCTCAGTATAAATGTCAGGGTGGTTGCTGTCCTGAATGAAAAAGTCTAGCTCTTTTTTTCCTCTTGCATTTGAATCCTTTCTTGGCATATGAGAAAAATATTTGAGAGTTGAACTTGGCAGCTGGCAATTTGTGCTTGACCTGTCATGTGCTGAGCACGATGGGAATAGGTTTTGACAGATTTGTCATATTTAACAATGACTTTGTCGGTGTCTTGTTAGCACTGGGGGATGTGCTTCCATCACAGGATTTCCTGGAAGAGTAAAAAATGCTCATGCAAAATTAAGCACAGTTAGGAAGTTTCAGTTTTGACACTTCTCAAAATCTTGAACCTGGAGGCTATAAAAACCTGAGTTCTAAATTTGGCAGCTATGCAGAAGGTTTGGTGTGTTACCCATGGGATGTTCCTTCCATTATTTCCTTCTGCTACTGCCCCTAGAGTGAGTTTCTGGACATTGGATGTGTTGCTTATTTTTATTTTGGGGAGACATTGCCCACCAACTGCTCTTCGTTCCTTCCATTCACAGTAAGATTACCTTTGCAGGGGTCTTGCTTGAAAATGTGATTTTGGTTGTCTGTTCTCCCCTGCTGGAAGGGAACGGGCGATAAATTGACTCCAAGAAGAAAGTGACTTAGGATGAAGGGTCAGAGAGATGCAGTGGGTGTGCTGTGAACCCACGATGCTCTAGAGGAGCGGTTTCTGTTGCTAGACCCTACAACACTGGTAACTCTTTATACTTTCTGAATCTTATCTATAAGACAATTGCTGCATTTCTTTGTTTAGAGTCGACACAGTTTGATATGAGACTATTCCACAGGACTGATGAGACCAAAGTAGTGAAGTTGTTAGGTTGTACAGCCTTGGGAACATTTCTGTTAAATTCCCCCTCTTTCTCTCTCTCTTCAACCCCTACCATGTAAAAGAATCAGTGAAATGTTTTCTGATAATGAATATTTAAATGTAACTTCCTGATTCCCTGTCTGGGTCTTAACCTTTATATTAAAAGGAATTTAAATAATGAAGAATTACTCCTCAGTCAAATTTAGGAGCGTTACTTATGGCTGTGAGGTGAAAAGTGGATGTTAGAAATATGAAGCAACTGTAGTATGTATCTGTACGAGGTAACGGATACATGTTTATTTTTTTGCTGTGAAAGCTATTTTTCCAACCAGTTTTTGGCAACCAAGCAACAGAAATCTGTGTTTACAAGCCTGTGAATCTTTAAAGCTAAAAAGCTTTCTAATAACTACAAAAGTGATTTTTTTTTTTTTTTTTTTAAGTGGACCATTCTAACAAATCCTCAACTTTCCATCGAAAAATAATTTAGAGAGCAGCTTTTCACCATTCTTACAGTTTTGTCCTCCACGATGAAAGCTGTACTGGAACTGGACTTGCTCCTCCAAATGGGTGAATCCTTTAGATTTTTATCTTCACCTCTCTGCTTCTGCTACATCAGGTTGGTCTTTCTCATGTCCTCCGCGTAAATATTTCTCAAACTGGAGTGAGCTTTGATTCTACCTGCCTCTTGGCTAAAATCCTGTTCAGATGGTGTTGCACTGAAGCTCACGTATAGACAAGAGAGAACTGGAGGATGTGGCTGCTTCATCATCCAGGGTGTTCAAGTTGATTGTCTAAGGTGATTCATGTCAAGGCTGCGTTTCTTTAAGAGCAATCGTAGGCATGTTCATGCTCTCTCTCCTTTTCTCTGTCCTTTGCAACATGATGTAATTCTTTTCTCTCCTTCTCCAGTCAATAATGGATATATATCTTTCCAAGCTCCTAATTAAAACTCCAAATTGTGCTTTTTCAGGTCACAGAGCTCAATAATGTGAAGAATATATTACGAATGCCAAAAAGCACAAAGAAGCATGCTGTTGGGATTTATTTTAATGATGACACATCGAAAACCTTTGCTTGTGAGTCAGGTGGGTAAAATGGCAACGCACATTAGAAAACATGAGAGTATTAATTGTGAAATTATGGATGTATTATACCTACACACAGATTTTCTGGGCATTTATACAGAACTTGAGGCAGATGAGTGGTGCAAGGTGCTGCAGATGGAGTGTCTTGGAACACGAATTAATGACATTAGCCTTGGAGAGCCTGACCTGTTGGCATCTGGAGTAGAAAGGGAGCAGAGTGGTAGGTACATAAATGTTGACATTTTAAATCTTCAATTGCATTATTTTAAAGTCTTTTGGACTATGCATATGAATATCAGAAATAAATTGGTGCGAAATTGTTTTTTCCAAGCCCTCCTTCCTGTTTTGTGGTTTGTGGGGTTTTTTTGGGGAGGGGGGCGCGGAATTTTTGGCTTTTGTTTTTTTTAATTGCTACCAGAGATAATAAGTAAGGTAACTAGAATTATTTTGGAATAGCATTTTTCTTTCTCAGACAAGTTAGTTGCTCTTGGAGATGGGGACTATTGTTTGTTGTGTGTTTTCTTGTATGATGTCTGTACAACCGTTTCAGTCTGTGACTGGGGCTCTTTGGCAGCATTGTAAGGCGAATAATAAATAGTAGTAATTGCATGCAAAACATCAGCTCATGGCTACTTCACTTTCTTATGCAAATTAACTAATTACATGCACGAATGCAATTGCAATGTATTTATTCATGCACACAATTTTATTAATTGTTTGCAAATATCAGGATTATGATGCTGCAGTTCTCTTTGGTGTCTGAATGCACGCACAAATGTTTGACGCCCTTTGAGTGCAGCATTCTGACTGCCCCAAACATGGAGTTTATTGAGTTATTGGATGGAATTGAGTCTTTGTTTTTGAATTATTTGTTCAAAGTGGAAATAAGATCTTGTAATAGAGGTGGAAAATAGGAAATTCCTTTAATGACTTGTACATTTAATGGGCAGGGATTTTAGACTAACCTTTTGTTTTTCTCCCAGAGAGATTCAATGTGTATTTGATGCCATCCCCTAATTTAGATGTGCATGGGGAATGTACCTTGCAGATAACATTTGAGAATATCTGTCTTTGGGACATCCAGAATCCCAGAGTAAAACTCATCTCTTGGCCATTAAGTGCCCTCCGACGCTACGGGCGGGACCCATCTTGGTTCACGTTTGAAGCAGGGAGGTAGGTTTGTGTTCGCTATATTGCGTTGCTTTCATTGGTGGTGCTGGGTGGTGCTCTGGACCACTTCTGAAGGTTTGCTGAAGGACATCAGAGCTTATCTTCAGACAGAGGGTAGTCTATACCCTCTGCTTAAAAAAATATTAGAAAAAGGTAATACTGAAACAAATAAAAACAAATAAAACCCCTTCTTAACCCCATGTTGCAGCTTGAATGGAAGCAGTTGCCAAATAAAGTGCCTGAGGATGAGGGTGGGAGAGCTGTGGTATCCCAGGGGACTGCAGGGTGGAGGCTGACGGCGTTGTATGTTACTGTATAGGGTTGTTCTTAAATAAAGCACTACGTGAGCCAGAGAATTGGATGGACAGATCTGGGAAGGAGGGGCGAACATCATTCCAGAATTTGTACAATGTGGACCTTTGGGCACAGAGTTATGGGTTCTGTACCAGGAGAAGCGGAGTTTGAAGTTGAGAGCACTGTGTGCCAAGTTGTTTCCCAGAAGCAAACTAAAGAATGGAGAAGGGACTCCTGTTTTCCATTGATTATATTCCTGGTTTCCATCTTTTTGACAAATGGATTTATAAGAAATTTAAATGCAATTCCTTCTTTTAGAGATGTTTTTCTGTATTGCTTCCTGCAGCTCAGTCTTAATGAGCTGAAGTCTGTGTGGCTGAAGTTGGAGCACTTATTTATTGAACTAAACTATCAAATCCTTTCTAAGGGATATGGATGCATTATTTTAGATAAGCACATTAAAGAATTACAATAGTAAAAGAGAAACAGATCATACAATTAACTTATCTGGAAAGGGAAGAGGCATTTAAATGTCCATCCTCCATATTACTGCAGAATTTAGTCCTCTTGGGGGAGGAAGGATACATTTTTATTTAGCTGATCATGCATTAGCCATGATAAGACAATGCAGTTGGGATGCTGAGGATATGTATTTATCGTTTCAAGTGGAAGACAAAACTGCAAAACTCATTACAGGCAGTGTTAAAAGTCTGAAAGGGGAAGACAAATTAATCCTACCTGGCACAGATTCTATATAGGGTCTAAATATTAAAAATTTGGGTCTTGCGCATGAACTCTCTAGAGCTTAAGCACTTACGATAGATCAGTGGTACTTAGCTGAGTCCCTGTTTGGCAAGAGCAATACAAATACGGGCTAAAATAGTAAGATTGGACCAGGCGTGGTAGGACCCATGCACAAAGACTTTTAGATAACTTCTTTCCATATTTCAACAACCTTTGTTTTCTTACTGCTTGTGCGATAGCACTTTTAGAGCAGCATGGTAAAGTTTTGCTTCTTCATGGTGATCTGTAAACTTAAATCTCACACTTGGATGCTATCTGTTCTTGCTTTGGCAGGATGTGTGACACAGGAGAAGGACTATTCATCTTTCAGACCAGAGATGGGGAAGCAATCTATCAGAAGGTTCACTCGGCTGCTTTGGCCATTGCAGAACAACACGAGCGCTTGTTGCAGAGTGTGAAAAATTCAATGGTACGGCTGCTTGTTATGCTTGTTATTTCGCACTGGGCACCAATGAACAGTATGTTTCTTCAATGTGATTTTAAGTTTTGATTCACAGATAGTAAGCAGTCTGATTATTGCTCTTATTAAATTCTGCTTGATTTTAATATTTAGGGCAGTATATATAACTGGGGTTGTTTTTCAAGAATCAAAACAACAGGGAAACTTATAGTCCTTGATTTTTGTGTTTACAAAGCTATCAATAAGTGTGAATTAATACAGAGATGATAAGCTCCTGTCACTGCACATTCTCATTAGGTTCCTTTGATTAATCAGCATCATGAGTTTGCTTGGAAGCATTTCTCATCAATCTATTTGCAAAGTGTTGTGGCTCATGCTCAGTTTTCCATTTGCTAATTGATGTCTGCACTCCAAGGATGACTTGGAAAGAGTCATATGGTTCAGATTAAACTATGGGGGAGGACTAGATGTTTGTCTGATCTCTCAGTGGGTGTCTGTTTTCCACAAGTGCTTTTTGTGCCTAAAACTTGTTTTATGACACACATGACTGGTAGGAAATATAGGAGTGTAAGATGCAAAACTAGCATATAGATGGAGAACAGACAGTGTGGCATCCCCAAAAGCGTTACATCTGAGGAAGGCAGTTTTATGGCACTTGCACCTAATGTGTTTCAGGATCTTATTAACTTCATTTTTTTTTTTTCATGAAACCAGTAGAGTGAAAAGGAATGTTCTGGTTATCCCATATCACAGTTGGTCTTTACACCCCAAGACTCACAGGTTGACTCTGACAGCAAAATTAGTATCCTGAAGATAACAGGCTGTCTGGAACGTATAAAATGCCCAGAATGGACAACTGTGGAAAAGCCTGGCTGTTATTCCAGGCAGTAGTAATTGGTTTATGTTACCTGCAGTAAGACTTTATATCTTTCTCTTATTGTAAACGTGCTGCTGTTATCCACATCCATGTCTAATCCTTTCAGTAATTCTACTAACATCTTAGTTTCAGGGATAAGTTGTAGCGATGAATTATCCCAGTATTAACTGGATGATCCAGCTGGGATGAAACAGAAAATGCCATTACTACTTGTGGAAACTTAAGAAAAGATGAGAGTGGATGTTGAGGGAATGGGGAAGGGAACAAATTGTCTTAAGTACTTTTATTTCTTTTATTCTTCCACTTTCTTGGACTTGAGACAGAATGGAAGCCAAATACATGACAGGAAAGTTATTTTTCTTAATAACAGTCCAATGAGGAGGAACAAATGAGGAGAGGAGGAGCAATAGGAAACTCTTTCAAGTGTCCCGACCAATCCTCTGGACTGGATAACTGATTGCTTAAGCCGAGCACGCAGGCAAATGGGTAATTCTGTCGTTTGTAGGGCAGGTGGGATAACTGAAGTGGGATGGTGAGGAAAATTCAAGTCTGTTTCTAGGCGATGTGGGTCCTGCAATGTCTTTACTTTCAACAGGAAGGAGACTAGTTAGTGGTTTTTTAATATAAAAATATATTTATTTCACACTACATATAGCATGATATACCAGGTTTCAGCTGATGCTACTCTGTTAACTTCTGGCTGGTGTCATTACAATGTGGTCACTTCTGTAACGCCCGTGGGAGAGCGCGGTGTCTGTAGGGGTGAAGCGCTAACTTGGACCCTTTCTTGTGGCAGCCTCTGCCCTGTGTCCATTTAGACCACATGCTTTTCCCAGCACTTCCAGGTTCACTAGGAAGAGCTTGACACTTTGCTTGCTTTCCTTCACAAGTGTTAGAACTAGCAGGTGAACTGCAGCCAGCTGCACTGGTATTTTTCCCTTTCCCAGTAAAGTATCATCTAACACCATCTTTGCTGTTTCTTGACTTTTGTTTAAAACAAAAAACTTTATAGTTCTAGTTAGTGAAGGGAGTTTTTGTCCAAAAATATCCAAAATTATCTAAGTTGAGACAGATGGGTAGATGATACCAGTACTCAACAGTAACTAAACTAAGCAGATTAAAATTAACCTAGGGTAAGTCAGCATAACCAGCTAACCTTTGTAGCCCACCAGGATCAGAAGCGATTGAGTAACTTGTTGAGAGCACAACTTCATTTTCAAAAAACAGAGATAAGTTCAGTAAGAATAGTGAATAGGCTTACAGGCCATTTCATATTTGGTGGTTTTACATTTATGTAATAGCATCTTTAATAGATGATGTCTGATGCTGTGCTGTAAAATTTCCATCTTAGAAGTGCCAATAGACTCAACAGATGTACAGTTGCTATAGATCTCAATAGAGAGCAGCTGCACAACCTCTAAAAGCTTTTTCATGAACACTGTGTCCAACCACAACTCCTAAATCTAATTTTATAGACCCTAGAGTGCTAAGTGGGGGACACGAACATATTCCTGGTGAACTGAAAGTCTTGTAATTTAGTAGTGGAAAATAATTGTTTCAGATGAGTCCATACGCCCCTGAATACGAGTTTCCCAAGTCTGTCACAGAAACGTTGTCTGGTTCCGAAATAGTCAGTGAGACTTGGTGGCTTCTCTGGGGTTCAAGGATAGTCAGATTTAGAAGTTTAGGCAGAGGATCATTATATCAGTGTCGAACTCAGGTGTCTTATTTTGCTGATTACAAAATATTTGCAAGGTACATCTTTGTTCAGATCGATTGATTTCCCCTGTATTTTTTTTCTGCTTTTGAACGCTTCAATGAGGAGTTCATTTTAGATGCTTGCACTTCACGCTCGGCTGTTTATATTGTTTCTGTCTCCAAGAATTATTTACCCTGTGTGAATTTTCGTATTAGTGAAGCTTGAGCTATTATTTACAGAAAGGGTAATAAAAGTAGAAAGTCAGAGATACTGATGGTGAGAAATTAAGTCTACACTGAATGTCTTCTGTTTGCTCCTGTAATCCTGACCACTGCTACGTCAGTGATGTGATTATCCAAGACTCAGGTGAAGATGGTATTAAGCTACCTGAGGGCTCCTGGAGCCTGTGCAAAAAAAAAAAAAAGGGAGTGGAATGTCCCATGCTGATAAAGCAAAATAAAGCTGCCAAGTACTGTTGAGCATGTGGGCTATAATGTGTCTGTCACCTCCCCAGCAGTCGCTCTCTTTATATTACAGTATGTTGGTTCAGTTTGTGACTATAACTGGCTCTGGCTCCTGAACTGCATGTGGAAAATTGATGCGATAGTGGTTCCTCAGCTGGGAACCTCACCCTGACACTTTCTTGCAATGTGTTGTTGCTTTCTGGTGAGGTATGAGCATATGCTGACCAGAGTCTGTGACACTTTCACAAGTGGGTTTCGTTTATTTTCCTTTTCAGTGAATTCAAAGACCTCTCCCTTTTATCTTTTAAAGGGAAGAAAGAGCTGGCTTTGCTTAGCGATGCATGAAGCCATTCTGGTCATTTGGTAACTCATCTCATCCAACTGCTTGTTTCCTTTCACTTTTGCATTGCCAGACAATGGAAAGAAAATATCTATTCAAGTTATGTTTTCATGAGTATTTGGTTGCCATGAAAACTGGTGGGAGTAGTGCTGTGACTTGACTGCTGTCATTTATGCCTGTTCTCACTTCAGGTTGCTTTAAAAAAAGACATTACAACTTGACATCTCACTAAAGTAATAACAGTGAACTTCCCGGTTTTGGCAGTTAAAGCTCAGTGCTTCATAGAAAGATATTATCAGCCAGTTTACCGGCAGCCTTCCCTGACTCTTATTCCCATCTCAGCAGCTCAAGTGTGCACTTTGCACTAGATCCATCTGATGTGCGAGTGCATTTGTCCAGGCTGGAACCTGCTGTTATCTCTGGCCATTTCCACAGAGATTCATAATTAAGAGTGGAAATGGTGCTCACTAACTTTTGAAATAAGAGAAGAATATTGAGTATTAGTGTAAAATGGATAGTAGTCAAAATGGCAGCAATATGTTAGTGCCCTCTAATTTCTGAAGTTGTTTTTATTAGTTTACCATTCTGTAGTTTTGCTGTAATGAATTTAGCAAATGTTTCTTAAGCAATTATTGTTCTAATTGATTTTGATTGATTACATGAATTTGCTTCACTGGGAAGAACATTCCCTCAAAAAGACAGTGAGTGCAATCTTTTCCAATTGGGGATCCCAAGATGAAGGTTTACTTAGTGCAAGTTGTTCTGCAAAATCTTTGAAAATTGCATTGTCCAGCCTGGGGAAACCAACCAAACCTAACAAATCTTAAATCATCTTTCTTTTCTTTCCTTTTGGAGCCATGTTCACAGCTAGCTTGAGAGAATGTTGGTGTGTGGGTTTTTTTGGGTGGGGGTTTTTGTTTGCTTTTTGGTTGGTTGGTTTGTGTTGGTGGGATTTTTTTTGGTGGTGTTTTTTTTTTTTTCTTAGCAGACAGTGGTTTTGCCTCTAATGCAAGTTTTGCTGATTGTTAAGGTGGGATCTAAGAAAGAAAATACTTAATCTTTCCTCCCTGAGCCCCCAAGACTTCTGGGAACCAACTGCACCCTGTGTTTGACCCAGAGCTGTGCTTTGGCCCAGCAAACTGCCTTGGAACAGCTCTGTACATCTCTTATCCAGGTGACAAGAGGTGGCACAGCAGCTCCCCAGCTGCTCTCGGCACTGGCTGCCGATGGCTGCGAGTGCTGCTTCTCCATCTCCTTCCTCTGCGGACCTCTCGTAGCCAGCAGAGCTGCAGGGTGGCTTTGCCTTGTCCCTCACCACTGCTCACATCTTTGCTGCTGCTTTGGTTTAAGCGTGACTTAACATAACTTGATCCCTGCCACGTGTGCAGGGAGCTGCATTTGAACTGCTCTGGGGATCCTGATCTCCTTTCAGGTTTCGGCATTCTCCTTCTTCCTTGGGCAGAAGAGGGTGAAAGGCTACAGATTAGGTGCCCTCCAGTTAACAAATTATTTGTTGTATTAATGGTGTGTGGAGCTGCATGTCCTGCCTGGTGCTCTGCTCGCAGCCTTTGCTCATGCGTGTTCCAGCATATCAATTCTGACTGTTTTCGACCTGCGTACAGTGCCGGGTGCTTCTGCAGCATAGAGCCAGGTCATTATCAAGTTATTCCTACTCTTTCTGTTGCCACAGAGATACAGTAGGTTAATTGTGAGAATGAAATCCATCATCATTAAAGCTGCCTTTGCTCGCAGTCCAAAGTGTTTTGATGAAACGCTGTGTATTCAGGACATAACATACTAATTCTTACCTCCAGCTGTGGGTTTTTTAATTTTTTCCCCTGCTGATTGAGTTCAGGAGGGGCACCCCTTCTGGCCCTTTTCTGTGTCTTTATCTAATCTTTCTCTAGCTGTGTCTCTTTTTTTCTCCCAGGATAGCCTATTGGTTTTTTGCACTCCTCCTAACAGCCAAACTGTTGCTCAAACTGCCTTAGCTTGCTGTCCAACTCACCAATAAATGGAACCACCAAAAAAAAGTATCTCCAGCCAGGAAACGCCATCCTCACAATGCTCTGCTGATTTTTATTCCCAGTAAAAGATCCATCATTGTTTGTTTCCATGGTGCTGAGATGTGTGTGGTGACACTGCAAAGGGTGTCTGGGCTTTAGTGAAGGAGCTGTAATGAGTACGCTGTACAATGTAGGTGGAACCTTGCACGGTGCAGTGATTCACATCCAGCTGACGTGGAGGTGGGTGTTCTAAGAGCAGGAGTTGATCTGGGTTTTGGTTTTGTTTTGTTTTACCTTCACATCACAGGCACGGCGTCCACCGTACAGAGAGGAGGTTGAAGGTAGATGGCACTTCTAAGTAACTTGGGAATGGGTCTCTCTGTATACAGCCAGTCCTCACCTCTTTTCTGTGCTTGCTTTGCCTGTTTGGTTTTGCTCCAAAATATACTGATGATCTTGTAAAAGGTTCTTTTACCTCAGGTTTTGTGAAACTAAAATTTAAAAGCTTACTTTTCTGTAAAAAGCTATCTTTTTTATAAATTAGAAAAGTCAAGTACAGTCTCGGTATGTTTGAACTGATGTTTTCCTGAGCTTTGGGAGGAGAACTTTAGCTGTACTGTGAAGCTTATGATAAAATACAATTATTTTTATCAGCCTGCACATACATCTTATTAAATTCATGGGAAAAAATGCCTTAAAGTAGTCAGTTCTCATATTTTTGTGTTAAGTATAGTATAACTAACAAGGGTCTGTGATTATGTAAGGGGAAGTGTGAGATGGGGCTTCCAGCAATGCGCTGCAGCCCACGTGCTCTCCTCTCAGCATACCTGGATGTGCTGTTTGTTTAAGGAATTTAGCTGAAGGATGCAGTTATCTCCTGTGTTGAACTCCTGTGCCATCCAGCTGGCACACTCTTCAGCTGTAGGAGATGGGGGATGAATAGAAAATGCTTCAAAACTAACAAGAATAACTTGTCCTCACCCATGTGAAACATCTCCAGTCAGGTTCTCGATGGGCTGAGGCTGTATTTAGCTTTGGCAAGTTGCTTGCGTAGCTGGGAAGACCCTCGGATGGCTTTGCTGCTAAAGGGGGAGCATACCAGCACTTTCGTATCTTCCACTGATCCCTGGTTTCTGTTTCAGCTGCTTGAGTTAAAACTCCCCTCAGGGGAAGCAGTGCTAGCCCAGGACCAGGGGAGCACCAAGGTGAGCTCTGGTGTGCAACAGCAGCATGGCCTCCTAACCCGAGTGGTGTGTGCCTGTGGAGACTAACCCCTCGGTTAGTTGCCTCTGCTCATGTAGGGTGGGCAGAGGGAGGGAGGGAGAGGCTGTGCTGCAATATCGTTAGAAGTCCTTGCAGCCAGTGGTCGTGCTATTCTCGGAGGATTTGCAATAAACATGACTGTCTCCTTCACATCAGTTTACTGCTTTGCAGCTTCAGATGAAAATGAGCGAGCGAGCCGTGTCCCTCAGCACCATGGTGCCCTTGCCCCGCAGTGCCTACTGGCAGCACATCACGCGACAGCACAGCACTGGCCAGCTCTACGGTCTGCAAGGTAAGGGGCTGGGGTGGAAAGAGTCAATGCACAAATCAGATCACGACATTGTTGAATCATTTCCGTATCCATCCATCTCACTGAAGGCTGATGTTTGGTCTAAGCCAGTTGTCACTGCTGTCTGATTGCTGGAGAGCAGGACACATCCCACCTTAAGATGGACAACTTGGCAGAGGGCTTGTCATCAGGAGGTGCTCTTCTTACTTCCCATTGGAGAGGGATCCTTCATTTGACAAGTTTTCTGAGCATTTTTAGGTAAACAAGGAGAAATTACTGTTACAGGATGGCCAGTTATCAAGGTTGCCCAATCCTTCCTGCTACCAAACTCTTTTAATGGCACCTGATTTTTTTTTTGCCAGACTTACAACCATTTGGCTCCTCTCTTCTTTGGGTGGCTGCCTCGTGCTAAGAATGATGCAGTCTTCATTATTCGTTTTGTGTACTTGCTAAAGTTCAACCTAAACAACTACATCCTCAAAAACAGCTGAATTAGGGAAAGTAAAAGGAAATAGCCACGATAAGTAGTTCTAGAAGACTGTTGCTTGAACAGCTGCAGTGCTGCCACTGTGCATTGCAGTGTGGCCTGAAGATGGGCAGACATCTTTCTCCAAATCTCCTCCTTGCTGTCAGCCCAAGGGGCAGCACAGCTCGGTCCCCTCCTGCCTGGAAACCTCCCCAGGCTGCAGAGAGGGAGGAATCGCTCCCCGGAGAGGTCTCTGCACCCAGTTGTCCCTCCGTGGTCACCAAGGGACATCTAGTGGTTACTGAGCGCACGGATGGGGAGAAGGAAAGGAGCCCACTGCGCCTGCAGGATGGACGGCTAGCAGGGGCTTCGCAGGAGTGAGCCATCTCTGCCCGCATATTTCAGAGCGTGTTTCAACACTGAACTTTAATCTCCTGAGATAAAGTGAAAACTGCAGCACCTGCCACGCACTGTTGTTGGTTTGTGCCGGTTTCCCCAGAGGCACCTCTGGAGTAGGAGCTGCAGGTGCTTAGTACCTCTGAGGAGCTGGCCCAATGTCAGCATCTTGTAGTCATGCGTGTTTTTAGAGGTTTGTTTTTTTTTTTTAAAGCCCATTTGTATTTCAAAACACAGTCTTCCACTCTAAGCTACGTGGATTGGCTGAGTTAGTGTTTGTATTGATGAGTTGTGAAGTCAGGATGAGGGCATTACTCAGAGAAGCCAGCAGAAAACAGACTAAACACTTAATAGAAGGGGGGCAGCCTGGAGTATTGAATGGAAGGAGACAATACCTGCCATAACTTTATTTTCACAACATATGGAACAAAGGCTGAGCTTGATTAAACATCTGGATGATAAAGATGGACTGAAGCAGTTTCCCTTCGCTGTGGGGGCGTTAGGAAGCGAAGCTCAGCTTGGTCACCAGGATACAGGCTGTTTCTCTGTCATCCCTGAAGGTCAGGGCTGGCGTGTGCTGCTCCAAGGGGCAGCCCTGCTCTTGGTGCCTCAGCCTGCTGCAAAAAAACCACAGGTAGACCTGTGTTTAGCAGAAAACCTCAGGAGCTGGCAGGGCTTTCTGGTACTAACATGGAGATACCATTTACCAACATCAAGCGTTCAGAAATCACTAGACAGATATTTTAAAACATCCTGGTTTGGAAAACTTTTGCAGTCTTTTGTTTGTTTGTTTGTTTGTTTGTTTCTTTTTTCCTCCCCTCAGATATTAGGAGTTTCTCAAGAAATAATGAATGATAGATATTTATTTTACTTCTATTGATAAAGTGGGAAACTGTAGAGGCTAGCAGCTCCAAAACATGAAATATCACAAGGTGTGACTAAAAATTGCAAGTGCTGACAGCCCTGTATAGCCATATTCCATTCTGGTCATCTGATTTTCAGCAAAAATCATAAAAGCTAGTATTTTTCCTTTTTCCTTTTTTCAACGCTAGAGGGGGCAGGCAGCACATAAAAAGCCCCAGCTAAGGCCGGCAAATATTCCAGAAGAGGAATGAATAATAAAAGCAGCACTTACATGCCTGTTCAAATTTGTTCAGTAAATTAGGGCATGGGAAGATGACCTGCTGGTGGCAGCCTGTGGCACACGGGAACAAGACTGCTTGCAGCACTCTGACACAATCAGTGGATTGGGCTTACTATGCCTTACTATAGAGTCCTTTATTAAAACAATAATTCAGCACTGAGTTGACACAAGATAAATAGACTATATGGGTACAAACCACTTGTTTTACATTTAGAAAAATAGCTTGCTTGTTAAACTGGAAAAATAGGATCCTAGGAGTTTGTCGTCATGAGAATGGGGTAAAAGTCTTTGAAAAATAAGCCAGCCACACAGCCAGCATTGTAATTAGGAAAGACACTGAAGTCCTTGTCTCATTCATCAGTCAGGGCTACTGAGGTAGCCCAGGCACCTCTAATTAGATTGGGTTGCCAAAATCTTGAAATGCTTCAATTACTACTGAAAAAAGAAATATGAAATAATTGTTATACCAAGTTGTGTAATTCCATATGTATGAAGCAGCATTTCACTCACTGAAATGGTAGAGGCATGTGAAACCTTGTGTGCAAAAACTTTCTTCCGCCATAGTTGGAATTTATGGTTTCTGAATTGATTCTTTTCCCCTTTTCTAATGAACAGTAAAGAACTGATGCTAATATTGTGAGCTGAAGTGCATTTTTCATTTAAAATGCAAAGTCAGAACTTCTAAAAAATTAATTTGCTTTGTACATCTCTCTGTTCTGAAGGAACTGGGAAAGAAAATCTGAGTGGAGATGTCTCTGAGGTGGAGCAGCAGATTAAGCAGGGATAGGTTTAATTAAAAGGCTGTAATCTGTAGTTCACATAGTCCGTTATAAAATGCTGAATAAGGTGCCTATGTCTTACTGAATGTTGTTCTGTTTTTTGCATCTGACTCGGCGAAGATGCTTCTAGCCCAGTGAAGCTTCATCGCACAGACACTTTTCCAACCTACAGGTCAGACCATCGATAAAAGACTGTAAAGAACTTTACAGACTCTTTGTCTTCTGACAAACTGCCCCAGTGGATGACAGTGATGATGATAAGCAAGGATGGAAACATGGAAGAGTTCAGGTTGGATGAAAAATTCTTGCAATACAAAGTTTTTTTTAAACTTTGCCAAAAGTTAAAACTATTCTGTAGATATTGGGGAGGGGAACAAAACCAACAAACCCTCCAGTGTTTCTTTTGTATCTTACAGCTGGACAGAGAAGAAATCACTCCCTAAATATTTCCAAATGTTTTTGTATGATAGGTATGTTGTAAATATATGAGAGTTTCTTGTTGTAGTGTGGTTCCATTTTGTCTATTACAGCTGTGTGTTCACTGATGTCAGCTGTGTCACCCTTGTTTGTTGTAATGCTTATCTTTAGTTATTTACATTATTGTTCAGCCTAATCCTTGATCTTTGAAATGGTGGCCAGTTTTAAGCAGCTATTGGATACAATTTTTCCTGTTTGAAGCCTGATGAAGACTTGATTGATTTCTTTTAAAAGCACCCTCTCTATCTTCTATTTCCTGTATTTATTTCCATCTCTGTAAATGTTTGAAATAAAAAAAAAAGTTCCACTTAATTTGTGGTACAGTGCTTTTTGTTGTCGCTGTCAGCATCATGAACAGAGCTGTTGTGGAGCCACTGGGGCACTAGAAGGAAGGACGGAGGGGGTCCGTGGTTTGCTTTGGGTGCCCCTTCCACATCTAAAGCAACACAACCGCTCATTGGGTGTCCTAGTGAAACAGAGTAGTAGATTCAACAGGAGTCTCACAATGCCACAAACCATTTTGTGGCAGAAAGCAGATTTTTCTGTTTTGTGACAGCATCCATGTTATGCACTATCATAGATTGGCACCAGCATCTTAATTTAACAGCAAACAGACTTTTCAAAAATAGCATGGTTGACTACTTTGTGCTACGCCAAATGGTCAGAAATGTGTAACAGCTGTAGATAGAAAGCTGTGATTACCCTGAATGCAAGTGAAGCACTGCGCTTAGCGAGGTGTAGTTAAATCATTTTGTTAACAAGCTCTGAGTAAGAACGCCTTGTCAGGTTACAAGTCAGAC